TTGGGAAGATGGTTCTTTTTACCAGCTGATCACTGAAGACTCAACTTAAAGAAGTCCTGTCTCTTCTCATCTTGCCAGCTAGGGAGTAAATAGTAGGCCCTGACTGAATCCACTTTGGGATTCAAGGGGCTTTGGAGAGCACTTAAAGGGCCTTTGCAGCCCAAGAGATCTGAGTTCAAATCTTTGGGTGGCAATATGACCTTGGCCAAGTTATTTAATTTCTTTGAGTTTAGGTTTCTTCATTTGTAAAACAGAGATATTACCCTTAGAGTGTTGTTGAGATTTAAATGAGATAAATAAAATACCTATTACAGTGCAGATCGGGTGTTTAATAAACACTAGCTTTTATAAATAATTGCCCTTTAATTGTTTATGGGTGGAAAACCCTCCAGTTGAGCAAGTGAGGGTGAGCCAATAGTATTTAATGGCCAATAGTATTTAATCTTCAAATATTAGAGGTATTGGAATTAATTTTTCTATAGTAACGGTATTATAAATAATGGCTAGGGTCCTATACCATTGCTCAAATATCTATTTAACCTATAATATTGCTGATGGAGTTTTCTATAGTAAGGTTGCTGTTGGCAATACAGGCAGGTTTCTGGGGCAGTCAATATCTTAGATGCTCAGAGATCCTCATTATTTTTGTGAGATAATGAGTTCAGAATGCTTACATGCAATTCCAGCAACATAGTCCTCCTGATTCAGCCTTTGTTATAGGATTAGGAACTCTTTTCTTCTGACCTCCCTCATCTGTTGGGTGTTGGCTGTGGGGATGGAAGCCCCTCTTGGTGGGTCCCTTGGCACAGGCCCTAGGAGGAAAGGGATTTATATTAATGAGTTTAGGATGGCAGGGAGGAGGGTAATGACAGGGATGTCAGTAAATAAGCTAGTGAGAAAGAGGCTTGATTACTTCTCCATCTGAGCTGACTTCCTATATGCTCCTCCCCCCACCAAAAAAAAAAAAAATCTCAGAGTTTAGCCTGTTTGCTTTTCCTTACACTGTAACCACCCCTCAAGTCTGATAAAAGTCCCCTTTCCCTTTAAGACCAGCACTGAAGAGAGCATATCTCTTTGTCCTACCAGTCCCCAAAACCACAGTACTTTGGTTTTCTAAGAGATTTTGCTGCTAGCAATAAGGCAAAATAAGGCAAAATTTTATTTTAAAAAAATTATTTAAAAAAAGACTTCCTTTTTCAGACCCATCCTTCCTCTTTTATTTCTTAGAAATAAAGCTGAAGAATAAAACTAAAGAAACTACAGGGAAAAAAAGAATGAAAGAAACTAAAGGGAAAAACCACAAAGGCACATAGCCTTTGAGCATTCAAAGGACAGAATAACAAAATTCAATTACAGATCGGGGAATAGTTAGATTCAAGAATTCCCCTGGACTTTTTGTGTTAGGAGGTGGACTTGTGGCCTTTGGGCAGAGGGGACAGGGAAGGGAGGATGAAAGGCATAATTTACCTCCATCTCTTCCATTTCCTTATCTTACTAATTTTGCTACAAGGTCAGAGTTATGCTCAAGTTGCATAAGAAGTCAGGACTGGATTTAGGATTGAATAGAACCTTGTTAAGGGGGAGGTGAGTGACATTACAGGGTGATCTATGAAGAGCAGCAGTTTGAAAGTAAAGGGATTGTCTATGGCCACTTCTCCAAGGTAGTTCTTCAGGGACTCTTTTTATATATATGTAAGTCAGGTCCTGTCTATATTCAGGGTTCAACTATTAGTGAGGATCTACTCTGTGCTATGATAAATATTGGGGAATCAGGGATACAATAGATGTATTTAAAGATGCTTGTGTAATCATCAACATGAAATGTTTTACTAATTAAGCTGAGTGGTCATGCAGTACAACAACCAGTCTGCACAGCAAAAGCTATTTCATAGATCATAGAGCAGTAGAGGATTCTTCCTATAAATTAGGGGTCGGCAAACTTTTTCTCTAATGGGTCAAACAGTAAATATTTTGCTTTGCAGGATATATAGTCTCTGTTGAAACTACTCAGCTCTGCAGTTGTAGTGTGAAAGTAGCCATAGACAATATCTAAATGTCTATGCATTGCTGTGTTCCAATAAACTTTACTAATGGACATGGGAATTTCATATAATTTTCATATATCATGAGATATTTTTCTTCTATTGATTTTTTCCAACCATTTAAAAATGTAAAAAACATTCTCAGCTCAAGGACTATATAAAACCAGACAGCAGGCCGTAGTTGTAGTGGAATAAATAGATATAGTAAAAGGATTTAGTTGTTTCATTGAAACAGTTCATCTGCTAAACTTCAAAGATAGGTTGTTGAATGGGCATTTTTTTCTGAATAAGAGTAAAAGGAATGTCCTCACTTTTCATTAGTTGTTGTACTGTAGTCCCATAGTTTTGGATACAGACTGGGATGGCCTCAGAACATTTGTGGCGTCTCAAACATCACTGGAAAATTTGATTTGGACTGAGGTTTGACACTATATGGAAAACTTTAGAAAGAATAAGTATATGTCAAAAGGTTAGATTTAATTTAATAATAATAATGAGTAGCTAACATCTATTGAATTCTGACTATGTGCTAAACACTGTGCTCATTTAATCTTCATGATAATTGTATGAAGAAAGTCTATTACTATCCCCACTTTACAGATAAGGAAAGTAAAGCACGGAGAGATTAAGCAACTTGTCTAAATGGCTGATTAGGCCAGGAGTCAAACTCTTGTTTATTTCAAGGATGAAGGAATTTAATAAAAACTAACAGATGTTTGTATGGAAATATGTTAATATAAATGTTTCAGACATTACATGAAATTTCTAAAAATCTTATATGTTCTGGTATAAGTCATAATTCTAGTTGTTACTTTAAAATATATATCTCAGAAATAACTAAATTTCCTTGCCAATTGCATTATTATGAACTTTCATCCAATCTTTAACCGTGGTCATTTTTAAGTCTTTTGTCATTTACAGACAGTCTGGGTGTACTCTGATGCTTTTGCAAAAATGTTCCCATAAAAGGGTTTCATCTTCAAGGAATTCATGGAAAAGACTCTGACAAGTACAGGTTTCTGGTAATTGACTATACTGCTGAACGGAATGAATAAGCATTTTCAGAACTCTAATGGAAAACTGATGAATTCATAAAAGTGCTAACAAAAGATCAAGATGAAAAAAAAACTTAATTACATGGGACTGAGTGAACTGATAAGGATGATTATAAGTTTTGTGACTTTCTGTTTGAATAATAAAAAAAAAAAACTAACAGATGTTTATCAGGAATAAAAATGCCAAGTAAAATGTGTTGATAATCAGGTTAAACTTGTTAATTTTACAGATGACGAAAACAAAGTTTACAAGACATTTTCCATGGTCACACAGCAAATGACAGATCAGGAGTAGATCTCAGATTTTCTAACTACTAGGTCCCTTAGTTTCTTTTATTCTGCTAAACAGTATGCCCTTCAAAACCAAAAGATAGGCAGAACAGAATGAGTAAACATGTTAAACTTTGGGCTATACACAGAATTTATGTGGAATATAGAAAAACCTTGATTTAAGATGTAAAATATAAAACTAACTTAAAGTCATTTAAAATAAAATCTGAATTAATAATTAAAACACAAACTAAACTGTATGTTAGACCTCAATAAAATAGGTTTTTTTTTTTTAAGACAAGTTATGTTTTAAATCCCTTATTTTTATGAGGAGACTGGGATAAATAATGGAATTCATTTACATCTTTCAAATTAAAAAAAGGGAGATGGCTCTTAAATTTATTTTTTTTTAAGTTTTTATTATAGTTGATTTACAATGTTGCATTAGTTTCTGCTGTACAGCAAGGTATATCTGTTATACATATATCCACTAATTTTGAGATTCTTTTCTTAACCTTATTTTTTAAGTAACTTTTTTTTATTGCTAAACGAAGTATATGTACAGTGCAAAAAACTTAGGGAAAGCAAAAGGAAATAAAATTACCAGTACTCCTCCTACCCAAGTAATAGTGTGAACTTTTTGGGGGGTTGTTTGTTTTGCTTTCTGTTTTTTGTTTTTTTACCACAAGAAAAGGATATAAAATCAAAATCAGTTCACCAATTTTTTAAAAAAAACTACTTTTTCTTTTTTTTTGGTGGGGAGTTCCTATTTACATTCACTCATTTAACATTTTCTGAACACCTAGGTTGGAAAGCGCACTGCGCTAGACACTTGGGATACAGGACAGTTTGTCCCTAAGAGGTTACCTGGGAGGAGACATAAAGAGATGTTGATCAATAATAATACAAAACTTGTCTTAAAATACAATTAGAGTTGAATCTCACAGTTGAGACTGTGACACTAAACATTCTGGAATTCTTAGGTTTTTCCAAAACAGCTCAACGCAGGGCTGGTGCAGTACTGTTATCAGCACTACTTCAAAACGAATGTTAAGTTAAACATTGGCGAAAACCCTTCATTTTAGTACTTGTCAAATGTTTAAACCTTTCAAAATTTTCCTTTTTAGCGAACTGGAAACGCGCGTCCTGCCGAGGTAACCATTGCGCGGGGACAGAGACACTGCAGGGTTCACATTCACTTGGAGTATTCGCGGGACGCCTAGGGGAGCGGTGCTTCTTGGGACTTGTAGTCTCTACCGGGACCGAAGACTCCGCAACTGCATTTATAATGCACTTCTCCCTTTTAAGCTTTCTGGCCCAACAGTCAGATTAAGCCCCAAACTAAAGCATAATTTGACAACCCTTACCTCTTCCAAGGCTCTTTATATTTTTACTAGGTTCCTTACGTTCAACATTCAAACGCTTATCGTCCCTCACAAGCCTCAAAGAGATTGGTCTGTCCTCAGCAGTGGGCGGAGCCTTAGGTGGACTGGATCTCTGGATTGGCCAACATCTCACTCGAAGAGGCGTTTTCCACTTGCCGTTCTGCACACTGTGGTAAAAAAGTAAATCGTTTACCGCAGTGTTCCTTTTCGCCGCGAGAATCTCGCGATATTTCCGCCAAAGGGACCTAGCGAGGCGTAGAGAGCCGCCGAGGCCAGTGGGGGTGGCCGGCACCGGAGCAGGGAAAAGCCAGGCTAGGGGGCCGAGGACTAGCGGGTGCTGCTTGCGCCATTCGGGTTCGGTCCGGGCCAGCCACCCAGAACCCAGAGGAGGTGTTGTGGACGGCGTGTCCTTCCTGGCCGGTGAGTCGGCCCGGGGTCGCGGCCGCTGGGTCAACCCCGAGTTTCACCTGGGCCCGCGCGGGTTGTGACAGGTGCGCGGAAGAGCGCGGCGCTCCGCCCGCTCGCCGGTCCGCCCCCTCCGGGCCTCGCCCGCGCGGGCTCGGGATGAGCTGCGGGCCGCAGCTGAGCGGCCCCCGCTCCTGGCGCCTGGCGCTGCCGCCGTCTCCTCTCAAGAGCAGCCGCCGCCCGTGAGGGAAAGAGGGAGGGAAGCGGCCGCTGACCCCGGGCATGAGCCGGACGCGACGTCCGTTGCTGGATTAAGGCGCCGACATGAACCTGCACCAGGTGCTGACCGGGGCTGTGAACCCCGGCGACCACTGCTTCTCCGTGGGCAGCGTCGGCGACCAGCGCTTCACGGTGAGTGAGGGAGGCTCCCGCGTCGCCCGTGGCGAGTCCGCGCCCCTGAGTCAGCCGGGCTTGGCCCAGAGTGACGGGCAGAGGCCGAGAAAGCCTCGTTGCCCTCGCGGGGCGTCCCCTACGGAGGTCCCAGCTCCTTAGGGCCGGCGTACCTGGCCTTTGAGAACGAAGGAGGCAGTAACGCTTCGGTCATTGAGTTACTTAATGTCCAGAGGCTAAACTCGGAAGTTAGAATGTGTTGTAGGATTTTTAAAGTTTTTAATCTGACGTCCTTGGGCTGGGGAGGTTTACTAAAATCGTTTATCCGAGAATCGTTGGTGTGTAATGTGTATGTGGGCTTTTTATTGCCCCACTCCATAGGCTCTAATTGTCAAGTTGAGGAATAGTTGGGATTGGTTTCATTTCTTCCTCTAAGTTTAGGTCAAGTGTCTTTGTAGTTGAAAAGAATGGGTGTCTTAAAAACAGGTAGCTGTCAACAACTAGCGCTGAGTGAAAACAGTGCTTTTCACTTATTTTTCTTTAAATTCACTGGGAATAACTTTGGAAAGAAAAAACTATTTTTCGTAAATGGTTCACTCCTGCTATCCTTTGAATTCCATATGTAACAGTTTAGTAGTCCTGGGAGGCTTATATTTATTTTAGATTGTTCACATTAATTACTAAAAGTTGCATTACTGTTTCTCAGTAAAATTCCTCTTTGGTGTGTAGTGGTAATTCCAGGTTAAAGTTTAAATGAAAGTGTCTTGTTTTTCATTTGTTTTCCCCAGATAGTGAAAGGAAGAGGGCCCCAAACTTTTGCTGTTTATCAGTATATTGACATTTTCTGCCTTAACTATAGCGGTTTTTTTTTAAAGAATTAAGTATGGTTTTTATAATAATTTCAAGCTATAAGTCAGTATTGCACATGATAGCCTATATCTGAATATATGTATAGTGCTCATGATTTTTGCTACAACTTGAATAGCTATCTCTTAGTTGTGATTAAAACTTAATTTTGCATAAAAAAGTGAAACAAAATAAACATCTTAGTAGATGCCCTAGGTTTTCTTCTCAAACGATTTTGACTTTTGTTTATCAGTCGGAATAAATAATAGGAAAAAAAAGTAGTCATTATTTAACATGGTGTGGGCATTTAATACCTGAATTGTGCTTTTAGATCTGTGCCAACCAAGTACTTTGCTTTCGAATAGAGTCTGTACCTCCCCTGTAGAGTGACTCATACACACCTTAACTTGCACTTGACACTAGCAGTTTTAGAGATTCTAATTCTAAATGTTGACCTCGCTTCAATGCCCAAGCGGAGGGTGAACTCTGAGGGTCTCAGTGGGCAACCATAGTCTCCCTGCAGTTGAACATTGCTCACTGCTCTTGCTATTTAGAAAATAAAGATCATCCTAAGAAGATTTTGCTAGTGGGAGATTATAGGATGGTAACATTACATTCTCTGTCATCTCCTAAAATTATATGAGTGCTTCCTCCAATGTAAATTCTAACAACTTTTTCTAAGAAGGCATTCAGAATCTATGTAAGCAGTGATATGAACTTCAAAGCATATACAATATGATGGCCTATTTATACACCTAGATGATCCTTCTAAGTGTATATAAAATCTTGGTGAATGCTTCTGTTATGTTAAAGGAGAAATGAGTTAATGTACCAAAGATGAGACTATCCTACGCCATCATGTAGCTTGTTGCACAGTTCTACTGAATTTTAAAGTCTGTTTCCATAGACCAGGCTTTAATCATCTCCCACCAAGCCTACTGCAGATTTCTTCCAGATCTCAGGAATCAGTCCAGTAAATAAGGTAAAAATAAACATTTTGTTGTTATTTAGTATAAAGAGATCCCAGGTCTCTATAATTTTGGTGATAGTTTATTAACAATCATCTTTTTTTCCTTTGCAGCTAATCCATCCCTGACTCTCTAACATTAAATTGATATTCCGTTATAAACCAAGTTTCTTGCCCTCAGTCTACTGGACACTATATACATCTTAAATTTATCTCTCTTGAAATTACTGTCTTTGCTAAAATGTAGAATCTGTTGTTTACTCCTTGAATTTTGTTTTTAACCTCTTTTGATTTTGGCTTCTTTTTCTTTTCACAGAAAGAGAGCAAACATTATTGGTAGATGGTATGTGCAGACTAAAAAACTCTCTCCAAATTCCAGTTTTACTTGAGCTAGGGACATGAAATCTTCCTCTTGCAGGCCCACTTGAAGAATTACTTTGTTTGTCCTGTTACATTATGCCTTCTCTAAAGACAGACTTTACATTCGTAGTTCATCTCTTTGCATGTTTGCAGATAACTTATTTGTTCTTGTTTTGAAAGATTACAAGAGATGAGATCTCGTTTTTTGAATACAGTCTGACAGGTTTTAAATTGAAATGAAATTGAGTGCCATTTCTCATGGATTCTTGATTTTAAAATATGAAATTACTAATATAGTTAGTATATGTAAGTATTAGATACTTTTTTACTACTAAAACTGGCATCAAACAATTTTGACTTTTCTCTTAATAAGAAAGCTTCTAGTAGGCAGTGACCTTTTCTCTTATACTTTCAAAGCACTTTATTTGCACTTTCATTATATTAGTGACCTGTCTTGCCTTGTGTATGTCTTCCACAGTTTCATTGTGGGTGCCTGGAACAGTGATTGAAGTACTGGTGTTACCTAATAGTAGAGTCATCATCTGAATTTGATTTCCAACCTAGTCCTTATAGTTAGTTATGTATCCGTGGGCAAGTTCTTTTACATTCTTTGAATTTCTTTTTTTCTTATCTGTAAAGTGGGGCTAAAGAAGAACTTATTCATAGGGCTGTTACATGAAAAAGTGCTAAGTTCATTGCTTAGTACCTGTAAAACCCTTAAAAATGTCAGTTATTATAAAGGCTAAACTCATTATAATGCATAGCACATAAAAAGTGCTTAATAAATATTGGTTGAATTGATGACTAATAGATAAAGAAGCCTTATCTATGTAATTAAAAATTGTTTTTTTAAAAAAATATTTTTAATAATTTAGATTTGAGTCCAAATAAAATACTTCAATTAAAGTTTCAAAATTTTTTTCCAAAGTCATTTATTACGCATTTTGCCATAAATATCAGGTGAGTAACCAGGAGAGATTTCAGATATCCGAAGCAAAAATTCTTTAATTTTTCTTTATTTACATGAATTTTTCTCTCACTCCTTTTCCCTTGTTAATTTCATACTGTCTTTAGAGTGAAAGTATATGAGCAACCTGGTCCTAATCTGTTGACAACTTTTGTTTTTAGAATAAAAATTTTATTTGTAAAAGACAAATAATAAGTTAAAAACAGGCATAGTTAGTTAGAATCTGGATTTTCTAATGTTTCTGTGCATGCAATAGATTATCCATACTTAGTGTTGAAATTGTGTTTTTACTGAAATGGAAAGGGAGATAATTTCCAAGAGAGAGATTGTGTTAATATTTAGGACTTGCAGTCTCTAGTTTGGAATTTAAATGCCTTTGTTATACGAGGGATAACAAACATGTAATAACTCCAGACTCCCTTTTGTATTAGAAAACTCTGTGTTCCCAGCCAAGGGGACCCAGATTAGAAGTCAAAAGACTGACTGCAGCTATCTGGGTGTTGGGAGAGAAATGGAGGCTGAATTAGCATTCTCCTTCTTTCTGTAATAGTAGTTTAACTTTTTGTTTTGTTCACTGTAGGGAAACCTTTATAGGAGGTTCTTATTTTGGAGAAGCATGTTAATGTTTGTGGATAGAGAGATACAGGAGGGGAAAGTTTGATACTGTTTGTATCTGGAGAAAGAATGATTTTTGTGGTACTCATATGCTATTACGAGTACAAATTGGACTTCTTTTTACATATTTAGCCTATTTAAAAATTTTATGTTTTAAATAGTATTAAGGTTCCTTTAAAATTATTGAAGTAATACGAATTCTTAATGTTGTGTTTAAAAAAATGAGAATAATGTTAATTACAACATGCCAAACATAACTCATTTAACCAGGAAGTATACCAGGAAGAAATTCTTTGGGATATTTACCTGGTGTGGTTGGTTAAAACAAAACAGAGAAAACAGGAAATCTAAGTACAGAAATCACAGGATTTCCAAATTAGAATGCTGACTGTTGCAGCCTTGGGTAATTTTTGAATATTGGAGAAGGTTGTCTGCCAAATTTAAAGTTAAAAATCATGTTTCAATTGTATGCTTGAAAGCACACATATGAACTCAGTTCTTTCGTTGCACCTTGTTTAGTCTCAAAGTTAGTAAACCCAATATTATGTATGCCTAATAAAAGGATTTTCGTTTCTCAATTTAATTTTCATTGCTTAGTAATAAGTTATTCTGATTACAGATCTTTTGACAGAAGCAGCTAGTGTACCAATTACAATATATACCTATTAATTTTGAAGCTTAGGTAGTGTGGCAATTTATTTGATGAACCAGTGCTGTTCTTTTTGTTTTGATAGTAATAGGGCACCTTGAAATGAATTTTTCAGAACAATTTATTTTGGAAAAAATCTATAAAACTAGTTTTAGATTTTGGTTTAGAATGTTATGTGTAGTATTACATCTTAGGTTTTTATTTAAAACCAGGGAGATGGGTTATTTTTATTTAAGAATTTAGTAAAAATGGATTATTTTAAAATCACACACAGCCCATTTTATTTATTTTTTCTTCTTTATTTTGTTTACGTGTGAATTACATTGATTGACTTTTAAAATTGAAGTACAGTTGATTCATAAATACTGTGTTGGTTTCAGGTGTCCAGAAAAGTGATTTGGAGATTGTGTGTGTGTGTGTGTGTGTGTGTGTGTGTGTGTGTGTGTGTATATACACACACATATATATGATTATGTTCTATTATAGGTTATTACAAGAATATTGTCCCCTGTATTATACAGTAAATCCTGTTGCTTATCTGTTTTATGTATAGTAGTTTGTATCTGTTAATTCCATACTCCTAATTTATCACTTGCCCCCCTCCCTTTTCCCTTTGG